CACTATTCATCGTCCTCACTACTCATCTTTACGTCTTCATCACTCTAAATACGTTCGTCTTCCACCTTCTGTTGATGGTTTTTCTCCACAAACGGTGCATTCTTCATTTTTTTATTCAACTATTACTAATTGGAATAATCTTCCAGAGTCAGTTATTTGTCTTTCTTCTTTTATGTCTTTCAAAACAGCCTTACTTCAGTATCTCTTCCAGTGAAACGCTTGTCAGTTAAGCATTTATGCTTGTTCTTTTTGCATGTTTTTTGTTTCTTATTGTTTTTTTTTTAAAAATTTTTTGTTTTCTTTTACTACTTCTGGTTCAAATCTTAGTTGTCTTCTTTATTTTGTCATTTCTTTTATTACTATTTTGGTGTTGTTTGGCTTGAGTCATTGTTATTACAGGTCGATGACCTTTGATGACTCTCACATTTCGTGAATAAACAATCTTAGTCTCTTAGTCTTAGTCCGATTATGAGAAATGAATATCTCCTTGAACCAGAAGTTATTTATATTCTAATGAAAGAATGGAGCAGTGGCGCTTCTACAAAATATTCATATCCTATACTGCAGATACGAGCGAAGGTGTGACCAGTTTGTATAAGTAGTAAAATGAGTTATCTTGAGAGCCTCCGTACCATCCTCATATTTTCCCTTTGACATATCTTATACAACTTTGACACAGCCGCAGTTCCAGCTGTTTCAACGTTGAAGTCAGACTTAAGTACATGACATTAGTCAAAATCTAAGCCAAAGATACATCGGATTTAAGTGTGTTTCACAAGGACAACTTAAGTCAGTCTTAAGTCTTTTCGTGAAATGAGCTCCTGGAGATAAACATTATTCTAATTAACGCTTTCATTACCTTTCTTGTCTGTGTTTTTCATCTTATGGAGATTCTGAATATCGACGACAATATGTGAGATAGTTAATACGTTAAATGTACTCCCGCTTCTAAATATTTTTTTTCAGACATAAAATGCAAAATAAGAAGAAAAAAAAGTTTAGAAACCACCTGTTCCAAGCCATTTTCTTTGTAATTTGAGCAGCCAAAGAGAAAGAAAACATGCACCTCCGCGAGAGAGACGTATGGGAGGGGCTGTAGAAGAATATTCTTTTCGGTGTTTCAGATATCGAAGACTTGATTTTAGCATTAGTACCCACAGTATTTTCCAAAATCTTCCAAAGTTTTCCACTTCTTAGAGGTCCAAATTAAAATTTTCATTCGCTCATTTCATTCGAAATATTCTTTTCTTGTTTGTCTCTTGCAAATTTTTTATTATTATAATATGTATAATATACGATTTTAAAAACAAACTAAAATACGATTTTACGATATAATTAGAGGGTGACACTACTGATGCATCTGTCATGCAATCTGTCTATCGTGGATTTATTGAGTTCACAATTAGGTGATATGTAGGTTTACGATAATAACACGCTAAATGCACAAATACAAAAACTGCGTTCATGCCCTTAAAAAAACGTTCGAGGACAGCATGTATACTTTGTTGTAATGAGTTGTAGGCAGAATGTTAGAAATATTAGTGTACGCTATTTCCATTGTGCGTAGCCTTCTCCTGTAATTACTTGCTTCCTACAAGTTCTTTTTTGTTCTTTGATTAACTGAGAACTTAGATCTGCATTATGTGTTCTGAGAACGAGCTATAGTTGTAAATATTCGACCGTTCAAAATACGATTACTAAAGTTTCAATCATCGTGATATGCAGAGTTATAATTTTACTTTAGATTAAAAAATCTTGTACTTTTTTTGCTTAATTATACATCTGATTTAAATTTCAAATGTTTGGGAATCTTATTCCAGCACAGGTATTACCGGGAACTGTTTTACAAACGAGTAATGTTATGCCAGGAGGAAATAATGAGCTGGTGATCATACAGGATGGAAATTCAAATCAAGCTGAATTAATAAACCAACTTCAAAATCATATTACAGAAAATCAACAAATTCTTATTATTACGGATGATTCGGGACAGGATCAATATGTTATTATCGATAAAGATCAAGATATTACATCTTTACTTCAAGACGGTTTGTGAAAGATTTTCTGTGAAAAGTAGTAAAAAACTTTTACCTATGAAAGATGAAACTCAAAGATGATGACTCTATGTTGAGAACGGATAGATGATACATCGTGAATAAAATTTATTGCATACACAACACTACTGATTTGAATTCTATTCTTCGCTCTCTTAAAGTCATTCTTACAAAATTCCATCGTCCAATTATTCTGTCATTGTTCTTTTTGAATGTTATAGGCTCATTATTCCCACAATTTAATGAACATAATTTGTCACGATCGACCGGTCTGGAACAAATCGTTCAGATTGCTCCTGTACCTATAGCTGCAGCGCCAGTATCTCAACCTGTTCATATCGCACCAAAACCTACAACTCAAAAACCTATCGCACCATCAACAGTAAATCCGTCAATGGCACCACATAAATCATCATTTCAAAGCAAGGTGAGCATTCTATTTCTACTAGTTGGTCATCATTTTTCTACCATTGCCTATTGGCTCTTTTAGGTAAATGCAAATGCATTTCACGTACAAAATGTTGAAGAATCTGTTCAACGTGTTAACGCTCCGCCGCCAAAGCGTAAACCCAGTATGTATGAATAGTTTTATATTCAAAAAGAGACTAGATATTATTAAATGCTTTCTTTGTTTATTCGTAGTTGAAATACGTTACGATCCGAAAGAAAATTCATTTCAAAATGCGTTTTTAAAATTTCTTGCCGGTGAGAAAACACCATCATTAGAAACATTGGCTAATGAACCAGTTTTACGTAAACCAAAAGACAATTTATATATTGGCAATGGAGTTAACATGATTGGAACAAATGTTGGTGCTACGGGACCATGTGGCTATCAGACATACGTTCTGAATGATGAATCGCGAATGGAAGAAATAATGGTTATTGGAAGACCGATTTATGATGATACAAAAGGCGTCAAGATTAATCCACTTTTAAAAAACTTGCCTGTTGCTAACAACAATACAACTGCGGCATTTTTACCACAGGCAATTACGCTTACACCTCGTCAGCAGCAGCAACAACAAACAGTTACACTGTCTAATCAAAATAATAATCGCGATCCATTACGTGATGTGAATAATCAACACCAGCAACAACAGTATATCAATAATTTAACTGGACTATTTCGTAGTGCAGTGAATAGTGTCAATACTAATACAGTAATTCCAGCTGCTGTTGTTCAAACTGTACCAACTTTAATGAAAGGAGGTGTAAGTATAAGTTTTCTTTTTCTTTATTATATTTATTGTTCAATCGTTTGTTTAGACAACAGTTACTTTGCCACAGCATTTGTTAAATCAATTTGGTCAAGCTACGATGACAGTTTCACAACCGTCGGATCTTGAACAAGCTCAAACGATTGTGTCAATAGCAGATAATCGTATTGAACCGGCGACAGCATCGGCAGCCGGTACGAAGACTAGTCTATTTTCTCTCTACAATCTGTTTGTATTTCATTTATTTTATTCTAGCCATACTTAGTCAATTAACAGAAATGGTTGGTCCGCCCGTTGATCATCATCAGCAACAACAACAACAACAACAACAACAAGCTTCTTCATCACAAAGCACGATTGGCTTTTTACCCGAAGATATTTTGGAGCAAAGATTACCACATATCAATAATCGAACACAAAATAAAAAGGTAAATACTACTTAAAAAATACCATGAGCTATTGTAAAAAGTTTCTGGATATTCAGGGAGTAGCTGATACTTTATTGACCGACACAGTTACACACGCTAATTTTGGAGCTAACACAGGTAAGACAAATCGTTTTGTCGATTTCTTTTCGAATTGTGTACTAATTTGTGAATGTAATTAAGGTGCAAATATTCCGTCAACTACAAATACAGTACAAGAAGAAATATTTATTGATTCGGGAAATATTAATCAACCAACAACGTAAGCTTTGATTAAATTAACTTGAAATAGTATTTATTATTGTTACTTTTATTAAAGAATGATAAACCCATCTTATATGGAAATTGATAAACAAAATACTGGAGAATATGAAATTAAAAAGGAACAAATACAATCTGGGGCCGAATTAGGAAATGAAAATGAGTCGCAAGCAGCTACATTACCAACCCAAATGGAATTAAATGAACAACAGCAGTCAATGAATTCTGATATTCGGCAACAAACCAATGATTATAGTCAAGTACCAGCGGTTGCTGAAACAGATGCAACTTATGGTGAAGAGGGTAAGAGTTATTTGTTGAATAAAACTAAGGTTTTTACTTTCGCTTTAATGTTACTATAATAGTGACCGAAATGGGACCAGAAATACCATTTGAAATGGGCCAATTTTTGCTTTACAAAGGACATTTTCTTAATTTATTACATTTTCCGATTTGGAAAGTTCATACAAAAACATTGTTACTCAAATACGATACCGTTTTGGCTGATGGAGAAATTGCATGGGAAGCCACTGATGAAGTGAGACATTTGGTCATGTTTTTACTTCACCATACATAATTCTCTATTATTTTTAGGGAATGTTTTACACAAATGTATTTGACGATTATATACCATTAAAATGTGAATTAAAAGGTTTACATAACAATCAAGAAGTAGTTCGTATAATTAATGAATCACATCCAATTAAACTAAAGTGAGTAAATTAACATTGTTTATAAAACGTCAACACAGTTCAAGGCATGTTTGACCACTATTGTTATTTCTAATCTAAGACGCTCGAATAGATGTCCATATTACCAAAAGCATATATTTTCTAGAATCCATGGTCATATGAGTGCTGTTCGCATTCAGCATGATGTTTATGCACAAGTATTGGTTAATCATGTTTATGACGCAGACGTTTTACCGAGGATTAAAGCCAATAATGGTATTTATCAGTTTATTAGTATTTCTCACTGTTTATGTACTTTTTTTTGTTTAGATGAATATGCAACATATATTCGTTTGATAGATGAAATTTTAGAACAACGTTATAATTATGTAATACAATCAAGGAAGACAATTGAAACATTTCCGGTATGGTTTTGTATTACAATTTGAAATCTTCTTCTCTAGTGCCGTGTAGGCATGCAACAGTTTTTTTTCGTATTTTTCAAAAAATGGTTTGTGTTTTCTCAGAAACGAACTGTGAAATTTCCTGAAATCAGTAGTTTTGTAGAACAAACATTTCTCTACAAGATGGTATATAGTAGGTATTTTTAAAGTTGCTTGTTTTCTTTAAAAACGTTTTGGATAGAATAATCCAGCACTTAAAACTGCGGCTAAACAGCGACTTTTAACTGCTGGGTCATTCTATCCAAAACGTTTTTTAAAGAAAAAAAGCAACTTTAAAAATATCTACTATATGCCATCTTGTAGAGAAATGTTGCTCTACAAAACTGCTGATTTTAGAAAATTTCACAGTTCGTTTTTGAGAAAACACAAAACTATTTTTTGAAAAATACGAAAAAAAACTGTTAAAAAACTGTAGCATGCCTAGTGCCGTGCACTTCAATCTCAAAATTAATTATAAGTTCTTCACACTTGTTCCTCTAAAATAACTAACTACTTTTAATTATAGTGTTATGTTGCCAAATATTCTTCATTAGATGTTATCGAACAACAGCGTTCACAATTACACTGTCAAGTATGCGTTGAAATAGTTTATTGTTATGATCTAGTGACTAAAAGGATCATTTTCTTTCTAGGTAACTGAAGACAAAACACAGCCTGTTTCACATACGTTACGTTTTCATGGACGACAGTATGATTCAGAAAATTTAAAAGCTAGTGAACAACCACTTCAACCATTGGTATTTTTTTATAACTTTATTTATCCCTATACTAATTACTATGTATTTGTTTCTTTATTAAAGGAAGTTTATGTTTGTGAAGATATTGCAGCAATGGCTAATACAGCTCATGCTTTAAAACATCATATATTTTATTTATTTTGTAATGCACAGGCAAAAGTAAGAGAACAAATTATGTACAACATACATTCTTCTCTTAATGTTTTTTTTAATTACAGGTTTCTCAATTGCAAGAACTGAATCCGAATGCTGATGTGACTGAATTAATTAGCGC